AAAAAAAAAAAAAAAAAGTATTCTGTCTTTAATTCTCAATGTTTTGTAACAAACAAGGGATTATTAATAAAATATCTCATGACTAGAAAACTGCAGTGTTTATATTATTTTCCAGTGACCCCAATAAACTTTACTCTGACATCCAGATCTTGATTTATATAAAATCGCATAGCAAGTAAAAGCATAACCCTAGAATTCACCTTGGCTCAGGCAGCTTCTCAAGATCACTGAGACCCCATTTCCTGGCCCATCACATTACCACCTCACAGGATGCAATCGGAGAGAGAGCTGTTAAGTAGATCTGGCTACAGATCTGTGCAGATTTCACTATTAAATGTTACCACTCTGACAAAAAAAGAAGCTATGAAGGTGACTAGCAATGACTCTGAATATATTTCTGCCAAATTCCCACAATCGCAACTTTCTAATTGAAGTTAACTTAAGGAAATTGTTATTTTTAAACTTTATATGGTAAATGAAAAATCCCCAAAAAAGGCAACGAAAACAAGATAAATACGAGGTCTGTCTGGAAAGTATCCAGCCACTGTTAATTTAATGAGCACAGTTTCTGTGACATCAAGTAACCCGCATGCGCATGCGTGAACAATGCCAACTTCACTGTACCAGTCAGTGGGGCGCTAGACGCCGCTGAGTGAGCAGGTGTATGGTGTGGCCGTGGCATTCAAAATGACTGAGTGACTAGAGCAACGAATCTGCATCAAACTTTGTGTTAAGCTTGAACATTCCTCCTCGGAAATTATCTGGATGATTCAGAAGGTTTTTGGGGAGGATGCAATGAGTGCAGCACAAATAAGTGGGGTACAAACGCTTCACAGATGGTCGAGAATCTGTCGAAAGTGAACAATGTTCTGGAAGGCCTGCAACAAGCAGAGCACCTGAGAATGTTGAACGTGTACGGGTTAAGAGATGCTGGGAGAACCGTGCGAGGTCCCAAGGTGCCTACTCTGAAGGGGACTGAGGCATGATTGTCCTATCACAATGTTTCTTGTATCTTGTTCAATAAATGTCTATTTTTCATATTACAGGGCTGGATACTTTCCAGACAGATCTCGTATATTTAAAAAAAATTAACATTCAGTCACCCCTAGGCATTGTTACTTCTTAGAGCATTAAGATACACTGTTACACTGCTGATGTAGCCAATCTAAGACCCCTATAGTCAATTTAAATCATTAAATAATTTTTTTGCTTTCCACCAAAATCATTTTGTTGGTTTTTAAGATGTTGGCAAATACTGAAAACTTCATACTCTGTAGTAATATCATTTATAAATGTGTCAACAGAGAATACTAAATAATTTCTTGTAGAAAATATAGAAAATGTTTGATTTAAGCTGCCTCCGAAAATTTAGAAATGCCTGGAAAACATACAGCTTCTCAAGATGTAGCAACATTTACATAACCCTTTTTCAAAGTCTCCTGATATAAACAGCTCTCAGTTCTAATTTCAACTGGTTTGTCTTCAAAATATGATACTTGATGGCAAAGAACAGGATCTTTTAAGAGTTCTTGTGTAGTTTGGATCTGTTTGAGGGTGCTGATTTGAACAAATGCAGCCCACAGAATTAAAAGTTTGGACACTTGAATGTACAGGATCATGCAAAACAGAGAATTCTGAAGTTTTGTGCCGGGGGTTTTTGAATGGAAAATTCGCTTTCATAGGATTTTTTTCTTCACTCTCTTTTGAGACAGTGTTTTTGTCTTCCAATGCCTGAGCAAGCATGTAACTAACTTTTCTCTGATGTGCCAAAGCTTCTTCTTTATCATTCAACTGCATGCACAGAAATTAAAAATGTACCAATTAGTCAATAAATCACAGAATATATTCAGAGAAAGAAGGACTGCAGTATTTTATCAAACATTCAACCCTAAATCTGTCAAGTCAATCAATATAATAAATTAATTAGGTGTCACCTGATCCTCAAACATTATGCTACATGTTATTGAGGATTATTTTTAAACACAAAAGACAGCATTCCTTCTACTGAAAGTTTTATAAGTCATCTAGAGAGAAAGGAGGAAAAAAATCATATATAGGGGTATAGATGTGTCTACATATATAATATCAACAGGTACTTATTTCTAAAGGAATGTTTGAGTTATAAATTGTTTTTATACATCTATATGCAAATAACTAACACTCTTTAGAGTTATGTTCGTATAACCTGAGTCTCTCAGTGTCTTAGTTTAGTCATCTGTGGAGTGTGACTAACAGGACTGATTTCAGGGTAGTGGTAATGATTAAGGGACACAATGTGTGAAGAAGTGCCTTGAACACTTTAAAAATGCTGAATAAACAGTCTTGTCACGAACTGCATATACAAATCCAGACGACAGAGCTGGCTAGAGTTAGTTCCAGGAGCCCCCTCTTTTCAGAGGTGGAGCTTTAACCCTGCACAGAACATGAATAGAAGGAAAGAACATTCGGGGAGTTTAAGGAGCTAAAGATCAAGAATTTGGAGTACTGTACCCCAGCTGGGAAAAGAGCATAAAAGGCAAGTACAAGTAAAGAGAGGGAAAGAGTTGAATTAATAGGAAGCAAACAGATTAGCTTAACCACAACCTGCAACAAAAAGAAAGCAAAGATACTAACCAAATCTATTAATATCTTAAAGACTTCTTGAGGGTTATCCTGGTCTTCTGTTCGCTTGGAACTGTTTTCTGAAGGGAGCATACCCAAGAGTTTCTGCCCTAAGGTCTTCTTACTCCTCTGTGATGGATGTCCTAAAATTGAACATGGAATCCAGCTGAGTCAAAAATACATTCATTAATATACTTCCAGTAAGAGAGGTAACTGTGAACCAAGGCTCATTCCTAAACCAGTTTGAGGGTTGTTCCCTTCAGGAGACCCTTAGGACAAGTGAATCAGGCAGCACAGCGTAGTGGGAAGCACAAGGCCTTCAGAGCCAGGACAGCAGTTCAAGTGAGAGACCGAGAGCATCACCCTGCCACAGGCACGGCTGCCCCTCTGTGCCACTGACGGCTGCATGAAAATGCAGCCTCATCCACATTATTTGAAAACACTACGCAGACCTAGCAAAACATGTCTGCAGCCTAAAGAAGGCCTATGAACCACGCAAACTCTGCTTCAGAGCCAGAAACACTCAGACTTGAATCCTCATTTATCCGTATACTAACTCTACAACCTTGGATGAGTGTTCTGAGCTTCATTTTCCTCACCTCTTAAATGAGAATAATATTATCCACTTCTCAGGGAACTGTGCCATTAAACAACATACCACAGGGTCTGGAGGGAAGGAGGAATAGGGAGTTTTGTTGAATGGTGCAGTCTCTGTTTGGGAAGATGAAAAAGTTCTGGAGCTGGATGGTGGTGATGGTTACACAGCAATGTGAATGTATCTGAATGCCACTTAAAAACAGTTAAAATAGGCAAGGTGCTCCTAAATCCCTTGGAATTTCTTGGGTGATAAGAGCATCTTTCGTTCTAATGAGACTCTTGATGGACTCCTGACTAGCCTCAGCATGGAACCTGGCTGCTAGGGGAGCCACGCTTGTGATTAGAGGGTCGGAACTTTCAGCCCCAACCCCAACCTCTGGGGAGGGAAGAGAGGTTGAAGGTTAAGTTGTTCACGTGGCCGATGACTTAATCAGTCATGCCAGGGGCAGGCTCAGTGGCTCATCCCTATAATTTCAGTACTTTAGGAGGCCAAGGCGGGAGAATCATTTGAGCCCAGGAATTCAAAACCAGCCTGGGCAACATAGTGAGATCCCATCTCTACAAAAAATAAATTAGCCAGACATGGTGGCACATGCATCTGTAGTCCAAGCTACTCAGGAGGCTGAGGCAGGAGGATCACTTGAGCCCAGGAGTTCATTACAATGAGCTATGATTACACCACTGCACTCTAGCCTGGGGAACACAGCAAGATCCTATCTCGAAAAAAGAAAAACTTTTTTAAAAACTAAAAAAAAAAAAAAAAAAAAAGAAAAAGAAAAATCAATCATGCTTACATAAGGAAGCTTGCATAAACACCCAAAAGGACTGGGTTCAGGGAGCTTCCAGGTAGCTGAACATATGGAGGTTCCTGAGGGGTGGTGCACCAAAGAGAGCGCCCTTCCCATACACCTTGCTCTAGCCATCTCTTCATCGATATCTTTCGTAATATCCTTTAAAATAAACTGGTAAATATTAAGTGTTTCCCTGAATCCTGCGAGCCATTGTAGCAAATTCATTGACTCTGAGGAAGTGGTATAAATGACAACCTACTTTTCGACTGGCATCTAAAGTGGGGGCTATCTTGTGGGACTGAGCCTTTAACCTGTGGGAGCTGACTCTAACTCCAGGTAGACAGTGTCAGAATTGAGTTAAATTATCAGACATGCTGCTGTTGTCTGCTGGAGGACTGCCTGCTTGGAATGTGGGGAATCCCCCCTCAATATCTATGTCAGAAGTGTTGCGTTGAATGGTGAGTGTTAAGAGTAGAAAGAACACTTTGATCCTCTCTCTTACACTGAGAAAAGCAAAAATTCTGAAACATAAAATGAACACATTCTCGAATGCTGAAATGAATATGAGTCTACCTCTTAAGACAAACGCAGCTTTGTCTACATAGCACTATCCTAATGGCCAACCTCCATGCAGAGCTGGGGGCCTTCCATGTAGGTTACAGAACGTGGCAGGCTTTCATAAGATTATTTTGACCCTGCCTTTCCTCTTCTTTTCTTCTTTCTCCCATCACTCTTCTTTCTACTCTCATCAAAACAAATAATTAAAATGTGATTTCCAAAGGGATCAACATGAAACACCAAGGCTGTCCTCAGAGACTATACCTTTGAAAATTTTGCAATCCAGCTCCTATCAAGGGCCTAAACTGAGAGAAGAGGTGTCTGAGGAAGATCATCTACACATCTGTTGTCCACGGCAGAACTAGATACTCTTACTGTATTCCAGTGATTCCTAAAAGGCCAAATACATGGACCATGTTAGCTTTTTTCCCTGGCAAAATCACCTACACTGAATTGGACATTATACCTTCAGCTTTTATCAAAGGATTATTATAGAAAATGGCCCTATAAATATTGACTTTGTATTTATTATAAAATATTGTTGAGGACTTAGCCATTGTATTTCCTCAATGAACTCTAAAAGTCTCATGTCAGAAAACACTTTTAGAATTTAATTTCAGGACCACGTGAATGTCTTTTTGGGAATGAGTTATGAAACATTACATTCTCCTTTTTTGCCTTGACTTCTACCTAATGAACACTCTACATATATGGTGTTTATGATTTGCTTTTACCTACTTTCATAATTTTGATTTACTACTTCTATTTTTATTATCCCTGTAAGCCACTTCTTACCTTTTTGGCAAAGGGGTAAAGTTTAGTTAATGGAACTAAAATTCGCAACAGTTGACTTGTATATTATTACTAATATACAATGTTGGAAAAGAAATATTTCAAACAAAATAGGTATCTACTATTAAAGGTTGCATTTTTAATATTATAAGATGTTTATTAGTCCTTTCAAGTTCATCTGAATATAAACTTGATATTAGGATTATGGATTTGACAGATTAGAAAATATTTAGAAATACAGTCACTTCAGAATTTCTATACTAAAACATTTAAACTTTTTATAAACTTTACCGTTAATCTTTCTTGACTGACAAATGGTTTCAAATTCTAATTTGACATTTCAAATTGAAGCAACATGAATTCTATTGAATGATATCGATAAATGAAAATTGGTATTAACTATTTAGGGAAACTAAAATTTCTAAAAAATAACAGCTACTTTGTTTATATTGCAAGATCTATTTCAATTCTCTCATGCTACTTCTATATATTTTTGTATACCCTAATAATATTTAAAATTGGCCATGAACTTTTGATGGGTTCATGAGCTAAAACCTAAACCTAAACTTGTTTTATTTTTTATAAAATTATCTTATTTGTCCAATTTTAAGATTTTTTCCTCTACTTCTCAATTTCTCTTCTAGAAGTACACATTTCAATAAAGTTTAATTAGATAAAGACATTTAATGTAGAGTTTAAATGTCATTTTCAATATTACTTCCTTCTT